TTTTTCCTGTTTCTTAGGATGTAGAGGAGAAAGAACCAAGTTTCCTGAGTCATAGGAAAGATCTACAGCTATTTCCACAATGACTTTGAGGTACAACTTGCAGTCCAGCGGGAAGCAAAACACAAAACAATAGATGGTAGCAAGTCCTAACACGTAAATCAGGCAAGAACTGCTTAATTATTTAAAAAAAAAAAAAAAAGTCCACTTAGGGAGGATAATATCTGATAGATGCGTTACCCTTAACCAGACAGGACTATCTTGGATGAGACAGTCTGGAAACTGGTGGCATGACGTGACCTCACCTCATTCCTTCATACGTCAGGACCGGACGTCACACCTGATCAGGAGCAAGATCGGGAGACCAACTCAGCCCAAAAATCCGCAAAAATCAGTGTTATCTGGGGCAGGCGTCTAGTTTGCGTTTTAGAGGAACATATTCCTCTAAAACACTTCTGCAAGCGTGGCTCAGGCGACACGCTGCATCAATCAGCTCTGTGTTTAATCCTCCTGGCACAGGGTATCGCCCGGTGCCGACAGTGCTATTTAGATTGTGCCTTAAAAAATGCAATTATTTCCACTTTCTAGCCTCTCCTCGTGGATATTGGAATTGGTCTCTTGGCATGAGGGCAGCACATGCCAGATGATAGTCACTGCTGGTTTTCGGGAGAAATAGTAAATGTGGTGCTTAAAATATCCATGAAAATCTGTGCTACACCTGACTTTTCTGAGTCCACGTCCAGCTAATGCTGCCACATTCACACTCGTGCATCAAGGGAGCCAGTTCTGCTGAGCCCGGGATGCTCCAATTTGCACCAGTTTCTCCAGATTTTGTCTCACCAAGTTTGGGGGCCCCACTTGTGCCAGGAGGTCCAAGGGACAAAAACATTGCTGGGACCTCCTGTAGGATTTGCAGCCCCTAATTCTCCACCGACATCACCCGGGGTCCTTCCAGGAGCTGCAGTGATGGTGGTGGCTCCACCACGGAGGAGGCCACCCTGAGTGCTGCAAACAGGGTGTCCCAGAAGGTCCAAAATGCAACAGGACCAGCCCAGCTGCAAGCTCAGAGGGTGAATATGGCCCCAAGGAGCTTACCCAAGGGTGCAGCATGGAAACCAAGGGGACCACATCCAAACCCTTGGGGTGCACGTGGTGGCAGGGGCTCCTCAAGGTCACTCTGCTTCTCTCAGGCTGACATCAGATGCAGCAGCAGGAAGGACGCACAGGGGAATCTGCATTCAGCATCTTCAGCAAATCGCAGTGCACAAGCTTGTAATCAAGGATACACCTTGCTGTGCAGAATCTTCCAAGAGACCGGTTTGCCTTTCTTTGAAGAAAACAAAAAAGAAATAATACACTTTAGGTTTGAAATCACAGTTTTCCCCATGCTCCCTGGTTACGACTAAAGTGCTTTCAGAAAAAGCACAACCCAAATGAGGCACTTTGACAAGGGTGACTCTTGGCATTTGCAAATCATAAAGGGTGCCCGTCTGCTTCCCAGAGGCATTTTGATGAGCCTGACGTGCATTTTTTTTTTCTATTTCATTTCATCTTGTGGAGAGCTTTGAATTTGCTTTGGTTTGAAGAAAAGAATTCAGAATCACGAGATTTCTCACAAAACAGGAAAAAAAAAGCCCTGCTTCCTACCCACTTCTATTCTTTAGACCTGAAAGACTGTTTGTGAAGGACCTCCACTTTGTTTGAAAATTGGTCCCTAAAATATTCACGCTTATTTGGAAGCGCATTGCTGAAAGAATAGGGCAGAAATGTGATATCTGAAAAGGTTGACAAGTTGAAGCCTTTTTTGCACCAGTTTTGCACAGTGTAGCTGTGGGAGCACTCCTATGGGAGCTGCTAAAGGTGCCAGGGATCATTCATGGAAAGGGGTATTGAGTCCTTGAGCTCAGGAATATCGTGCAAAAGGGGCAGGAGAAGAGAAATAGGGGAAGAAGTAACCCAGGAACAGGGCAGGTACAAGGAGGGGAACTGGAGAGAGCGGCTGGATTTGCAGAGGGCATCACCAAGACCCAAGCACAACCGAGACAGAGCAAAGCTTTGCAAATAAGCACCAATATATTACTTTATGTTTATAAAACTAACCACCACCAATTAGAAAAACACCGAGGAATGTTCCAGGGTAGTAAACTCAGCTGGCCAGGAATCCATGCTGGAAAAAAAAGCCCTGTGCAGACAGGCCAACGCTGGGGAGAATTAAGCCGTCACCAAGCAGGACACCCATCAAGGGACCTTCCTTTGGCCTTGCACGAGTGCAGGGCACAACCAGCCACCTGGGCCTGGAGGAGCCTTGCTCATTTTCTTTTCACACATACATACATATATATTTAGATAAAGATGATCTATAAAATATTAAGTCACGATTGAGATCGCCTGCCAGCAGAAAGAGTCTGGGCTCTATATTTCATTACATTAACACATGTGCCTAGTTCCAGATCTGGGATACTAGAAATAGGGATTTTTTTTCCTCTTTCAGCATCTCCAGCTCAGAAATCCAGTTTTCCTCCAGGCCATTCACAGGTGCAGGGCTGGGCACTGTGCAAGGCAGCAAAGAAAACCAGGGTTAGGCTAAAACTCCCTCCAGGCCTTGAGCTCTGGTCTCACACTATGGTCCTCAGTTCGATGCTGGGACCCCTCTTGGGCACCAGGACCCCAGTCCTATGTCAGATCCCACCTCAGGATCTCAGTCTCACGCTAGGACCCTGATCCTGCCTTGGGATCCCAGTCCTAAGCAGGGACACAGCTCCCATCCCAGGTCCCCTGCCGTCCTGCACCTCCTGCAACGCACCACCATTTCATAGTCACAACTGACCATTTCATAGGCAGAAAAGCAGCTTGTGGGTGCAATCCAGCTCCCATCCCAGGTCCCCTGTCCCACATCAAGACCTCGATCCCGCTTTAGGATCCCCTCCTTGTCAGGATGTCTGTCCCATGCTAAAGCAAAGTCCCATGCCGTGACCCTGGTCCCTCCTGCAACGAACGGGTCTCACAACTGGCCATTTAACAGGCAGAAAAGCAGCTTGTGGGTGCAATCACCAAGGAAAATCAGGCATAACTAGAAAGAGAGAGGTGGCCGTGTGTCCCCAGGACTCCCGGTAGGTATTTTCCAGCCAGCCTGGTCCAGGTCACCAGCTCCGAGCGGCTCCGGGCAGCTGTTTCCTTCCCGGCTCTGCTGGGTTTGTCCCACCTGCAGGTTTGTCCCCCCTCTCATTCTGTTGGGGAAGAAAAAGATTACTTCAAATAAGCCGAAATAAAATAAAAAAGGTCAAATACTTCTTTCTGCATGGATAGAAGCATCCGAGGTTGGATCTAGCCACAGATGGAGGAAAAGGCAGGCACGAACATGCACCAAGGGGGCGAAGGCTCAGCCGCCCGGGGCAGCATCCGCAGCGGAATTCATTCCAGGAGCGAACGGGATGGGAGCTCGGGATCGTGCATGGAGATTTGGTGACATCTACAGGGCGTTTTACCGAGAAGAGGCCACAGCTTTGCCGAGCGCGCGCGGTCGCGCTCCAATCCGCGCTCCAATCCGCGCTCCAATCCGCGCTCCAATCCGCGCTCCAATCCGCGCTCCGGCACCCCTGCGGAGGAAAGGAGGGCTTCAGCCCTAGCAAATAAATAACCCGGCCTTTTATTTTTTTCCCCTCCAAATGTAAGTGCTGCAAACAGGCAGCACTGCAAAAATTTGCTATTCCAGGGGGCCGAAGTGAGGAATTCAAGGCTTCGGGCTCGCCGTTTCGGTGGCCCCCATCAGCAGCACCCGCGCCTGCACCTGGGCGCAGTGTTACGGGGCATCTAGAGCCCCTTTTGGCCCCAGTCTTTAAATTTCGGAGACCACAGGGCCTTGAGACAGTTTCCCCCCCTGCAAGCCCTTTCCTCCCAGCAGCTCCTGTTGCACGAGGAGGAGGATGAGGCGCTCCGGGCAGAGGCAGGTCGCAATGAGCAATAAAAATGACCCTAAAATGCCCCACCATTTGGTTGTGCTTCCATCCCTGGTGGTATCCAGGTTTCCGACTAGAAACGAAGCCCAGAGGGAGCCCAGGGCCACCCAGCAACAAGGGGGACACGCAGGAAGGTGCCCCCGAGTGCCAAGCACGGGCCAAGCTCTGCAGGACCGTGGGCAGAACCAGGACCACGGGCAGAACCAGGACCACTTAGAGCAAGAGCTGGGCTGCGGAGCTCTCCCTCCAGCAGCTCCTTCCAACGAGCAGCAGGATGTGTGTGTTAGCAAGAACAGTTCTTTTTCTTGCAGGTGAAGCCTGCTCTAAACGCTGCTGGCAAGTCCGAACCCAGCAGATGTTTTCCTCTGGGGACGAAAGCGGTTTTGAACCAAATCCCGGAGGATTCGGAAGCCGGCACAGCCCACAGCACCACGGTGAAGCCAGCGCGGGCCTGGCCAAGCTCCCAACCTGCAAGATCCCAGAGCTTCCTCAGCAAAAACAGGACGCCCAGGGGTGAGGGACCAGCGAATGCAGCAGCCTGGGAACAGACAGAACAAGTGATGGTTTCTACCCCGTGGGACCATTTTATTATGAAAATAACTCTTACAACCAAACTTTGTCACTTATAAAACACGCGGCACAGCCTGAAGGACCTGGAAGCTTGAGGGAACAGAACAAACCACACATCAGCTGCACCACGGGAGCCCAATGCCCGATGCAGAATGACAAGAGGTCCCGAGGGTGGTTTCTGCTGCTCTGTGGATGGTCAGTATCTTCTTTGGCACCAGCCCTTTTGCTTACACTTGCTCTGCCAGTCCAGGTTGAAGCTAACGTGGGTGTCTGTCCTGCTCCCACCAGCGTCTGCTGGCAGTGAGGCTGGTCCCAAGAAGGTGCCTGTGAAACGCTCTTCACAACCAGGCACCGTTTCGGAGTGTCTGTCCCTCTCCTTCCACGGCATTTCGCCAGCAGCAGGTCCCGAGAAGACAGGAGGTTGGTGCTGATGGCCAAGGGGGGCCCGCAGAGCCCGCGGCTGCCGCGTGGGGCTCCTCACTCGGAGTCGCTCCCGTCCTGCTTCGCGGAGCCCACGGCCGACGCCAGCTCCCCTTCCTGGCCCTTCAGCCTCTCTCCTGCAAAGGAGAAGGGAGAAGCTGCTGAGCGAGACATTCGCCGTGCCCAGGAACACGTGGGATGAAGTGGAGGACCCCAATGGCAGCCCCGAGCCCCCGAGACCCGCCACCACCCTGCTGGAAAGGCGCCTGCTCCTACAGGGACAAAGGTGACGTTTGTCCCCCCATTGCCCTGGGTCCTGCCGCATCACACGACGAGGGAGCTCCCTCTCCAGGGATTCAGAGCCAGAGAGGCTCCCTTGCCCTTTTGGGAAGGGAATCAAGCAGGAGGATCAACCTCCGCCTGTTCCCTCCCTTGCCCAACAGCCAGACACTGAGCTCCCGACGAGGATTGTGCGTAATCCCTTGGGAAAAACCGGCATTCCCGCAGCACCGTAACGCACGGATCAGCTCGGCGATGGCTCTCTGCGTCCTCTTCTCCAGCTTTTCCAGCTTCTTGGCTACGTCTCGCTTCAAATCCCTGGGGAGAAGAACGATAAGGTCACAAATCCTCCTCCAGACACCGGTAGGAATGTGGGGGCCGCGTTACCCCTTCCACAGAGGGGCAGAGCACCCCGGCTCCTCCTACGAAGAGCCCGGAGCAGAGGGTGTCCAGCACAGCCCACCAAGGCCACCTCGGTGACAAGCGCCCCAAAGGACACCAGGGTGTCACTCGGCATAAGGAAGACAGAGAAACAGCCCTTGGCCTTGCATCTTCCTCAAGGGCAGGACCAGCCTTCCCGTTTCCCACTTTCCCAGCAGCACAACCAGGGAAGGGCCCTTGGCACTCACCAGTCCGGCTTCCTGGGCGCCAGGTTCGCCAGGTCACAGGGAGGAGAGCGGACAACCAGTGAGAGCCCTCGGA